AAATTAATTTGTTTTTTTAAGTGTATTTATTTATTTATTTATTAGTCCTTTTCTGCATTTCTGCTTTATTTCTACTCATGTCATTTTCGGTCCACCACACACACCTGTCTACAATAACACTAATGACGTAAGCTGCACTCCTGTTGACCATTAACCTCACCTGTCAGCGAGTGAAACTGGATTTTGGACCGTCGACCACACCTCGTTACATAAACACGTTTTAGCAAGACAACTCAGAACTGCAGAAATTTACCTGCAGTGAACTTTAAAACAGAATTTAAATTGCATTTCTGCACACATTGCGCAACATTTGGCTCATTAAATCGAGCGAAAGATAAACAAACTTACCTTGTTAAAATGGACCTCAGGCTGCGGGTTCGGTGCTGGGATTGCGGTCCCATAAGAGCAGACTGACATTCGGATCAGTCGTGGGAAAGACCGAGAAACCACAGCACGAAGCATTACGAGACCTTCTGGGAGACAACAAACCTGCAAACTCCCAAACTGCAGAGCTGGTCCTCTTCTTCTTAGTTTTTTTTTTTTTTTTTTTCCCCTTTTTATTTATTTATTTTTGGCAGTTTGCAAACTGATGTTCATTACCGCCACCTGCTGGTAGAGTTTGGTTCGGTTACGAATATTGGGTGTCTGTACTTTACTTGATTATTTTTCAGCCTACTTTTTACTTCTTACATTTTTACACAGTTATCTGTACTTTCAACTCCTTACATTTAAAAAAGGCAAGAAATAGAAAGTAATTTTTTATTTCATCTTTGCTTGTTTTCATTCCAGCTTATTGTAAAAAATAAACACTATCCATTTTAATTGTTCTTCCTAGATAGTGAATTTAATTGTGGTTGAATAATTTGTCACAGATACTAGGAAGTGATATACCAGTATCGATACTGGTATTTATAATCCACCAAATGTGCTACAGATTACATTTCAAGGTTAGTTGGTAGTTCCATGTTAGAAATTTAAATAAGTTGAAAGAAAACTTTTACATTTTTGCAACTGCTGTATATTTGATAGGGGGGCTGTAGGCCTACAAAAAACAAAACAAAAACGGTAAATAAAGCAGGTGAAAAAAGGTCTAGGCAGAGTGGACCTATGCACAAGAAATCTGTCAACAAAACCACAAAAACAATTTGCTATAATAACTTTTGATAAATTATTTATTTTGAAGGCTTTTGGACTAACAATTAGTATTACTTAGTTAGTTAGTATTAGTAACAAGTATTTTAGGGGCATAAAAGTAGGGGACAGCTGGGGGCAAGCCTCTACACCCCAGTCTGCCTTAAGATCTGCCCATACAGTGGTTTGCAAAAGTATTCATACCCCTTGAACTTTTCCATATTTTGTCACATTACAACCACAAACATAAATATATTTCACTGGAATTTAATG